AGACTATAACTCAAATTCAGGTCTTTTTGACACTACTGTACAGAACTGTACTTGAACTCTGCTGTATAGCTTTGTTAAAACTGAACAGTTGATTTAAATGAGCATATAGTGGAAGTTCTCCTCCCTGAAGCAACACTTTGCTGCAGTTAATAATAAAGAGCAACAAGTAAACAAGTCTGCCTGCTTTTATGTCTTAAGAGTCGCTATGAGATGACATAACAGAGATGTTTAAAGATGGTTTTCTCTATTTTGAAAAGGCAGTAGTCTTTGGCAGGCAAAGAGTGTCCCAGTTTACTTGATTTCAGAGGAAGGTTGTGAGGCTTTGTTCTGCTTCAGCTCGTCTGAATCTCTCTTTATGAGGCCTGGAGGGCTGAGCGGCTTCCATTTATCACTTCGTTTTGATTCTGTTAATGCATGGCTGCATTGATTAAAGCTCTGTACTTTGTTATGCTTTATACACTAATGAAAGGCAAAGTTTCATCTGATCAAAAATCCGCTCTGTAAAGGTAAAGCAAGGTAATCTGTAGTGCTTCACGAGCAGATAAGGCGACAGAAACGAAAATTGCATCGAACCAAAAAGACACAAAAGAAAAATGGTAAAATTTTAGTTACATTTCAAATCTGCATCAAAGAGAAAATAAAAAGCTGAGGCGCATTTCAGTTATCTCAGAGTTTTATGGGAAAGCTGGAGCAAGCAGTGATGTTTTCAGTCTGAATTTAAGGGAGCTAACAGTTTCTGCAAAGTAGTTTACAGGTGTTTTTTTTTTTCTTGCAGCATTTTGGAGGAGCTCCAGTTGTTTGACAGATTCTTTTATTCTAATAAATGACACCAAAGCAATGTCTAACCTCCTGAAAGCAAAAATAATTACTCAATTTTACAATTTGAAAGTAAATAATAATAATTGAACTTTATTGATCTCCCACCAGATAAATTTTACCTCTGTGTTTAACCCATCCCCTTGGGGAGCAGTGGGCTGCCATTGTGCGGCGCCCGGGGAGCAGTGTGGGGTTAAGGGTCTTGCTCAGGGACCCAGAGTGCAGGCTGTGGGGATTGAACCGGGTGATTGCAACCTTCTCTGTGCACAAGCGCACTGCTGTAACCACTAGGCCAAAACTCCCCCAACCTTTGCATCTGGCAATTATTTGAACATGTAGTAAGTTAATTTAGTAACAGACAGTACCTGGTTATTTAAATTTAGATCTGAATATTAAAACAATAAACACCAAAAATGTTCATTTTTTGCAATTGTAATGGACTGTGGTCATATGGTGACACAAAAAGAAGCGATGTAATGTACCTGCACAGTCTGAATAAGCTGTAGCATATAGATATCAAATAAAAATGGGCCAAAAGTGGGACTCTGAAACTAAATTATATGTGATCCATGTTTGTTGATTTAAAATAATTAAACTCGCAAGATGACATCAGTGTAACATATACTCAAATATTCTAGTGGGAACATGTCGTTTTTCAGACCTAAAGTGGGGCTTCACAAGGTTATAATTATTTGTCCATTAATGGGAAGCATGCTATTCCTCCTCCTGGTGTCAACACAGCAACATCACAATGGGGCATCTCAGGACTCCTGGAGGCCCTCATTAACTCCTTGGCTGCTTTCCCACACATGCCAGGGGATTTGTGTTTGTGTTGATAGCAGTGAGTTTTATTCACCATAGCCTAGTGAGTGATTTGTGTGGACTTTTTCATACCTCTGTGGAGTCCTATATATGCACCAACATCGTAAATTCTAGACAAGTTACCTGTGTCCCAATGTTCAAGTGAAAGTGAGAACCCTAAGACTTATCTCTCTTGTGGGGTTTCAAGGACCATTTATTTTTTTACTTAACTATTTGAATTAACGGTTCACTGCGAATCTATCCATTCCCACACTACAATCTTAAACACATCCATGCCTTTTCCTCTTTCCGCACAGCAGCTGACTGGTGCTTGCTGCTGTGCTTCGAAGGGCCTCCAGTGTCCCATTGTCACGAAGCAAGAAAAAACAAAGTGAATTGAGTTCTCATTTCCCCACTAAAATAACCCAACTACATGAGAGCAGGTCATCTTTGGCCAGCAGCCAAAGTCTCCATTAGGGCCTCGTTGAAATCCTTTTGCTCTATGTGTGTGTGCGTGGTCAGAAATGGTTCAGTTTTTTCTGTATGAGCTACAGGCAGTCTTAAGCTTATGGTTGCCTTGATTTCCACTTTAAGACAAAAAACAAAGAATAGGGAGTTGTTCACGTAACAATGACAAAAAGATCATGAGCAGCTCCTGCTTTTTTGTTGCAGTAGCTTCCTTTTTTTTGTGGTGTTTCCTGCATCACTTGTTGAAAAATGCCAACAGTACTTAAGGCGTTCTTCTTATCACTGCTTTTATGAAGACCAGATTTATAGAGAGCATGACTAAATGTCCTGTCAGGAGATCCTAAAGTAGCATCCTTTCAAAATAGACCTTCCAGTCAAACATCAGTCGAATGGAAGCTCACTTCCCTGCAAAATCCCCTCCAACTTCCAGCCACTGGAGTGACCCCCTCTTTCTCCTGGGCATGCACATTGTTTTTACTCTTGACTCCACCATTTTACTGAATTACAGGTCTGACCAGGAGATGGTGCTTCTCCTTAGATCTTACTCCTCCAAAGTTAACATGTGACTCTCGGCTCCCTACCTACTTGCCCAGTCTGGCAGTTACATCAGTTGTCAGAAACCTTTTAAAAACCAAATACGTACACATTTTTGCTCTCTTCGAAGTACAAATACTTCGTTACTGTACTCAAGTTTATTTTTCTGATATTTTTACTTT